TGCGGACGCTCGCCACGCAGAGGTATGTGGGGGGCGGCGGGCCGGGCCGGGCCTCTTCCCTGCGGGGGCTCGCGTGCCCCCTCCCCAGCTGCCGCCCGCAAGTCCCGCAGGCGCTTGGAGGGAAGATGTGGTGATGTGCTTCATGAAGGCTTACCACGGTGCAGGTGTAATTAAACCCTTGTCCTAACTTTATAATGATTATGCTACGTATGTAATTAAGCTCTCACCATTATACTCAGTGAAGAAAGGGGAAGCAAGCTGTCTAGGGACGCTGCTGCTCAAGTGCGCCAGCTGCAATAATTTGCCCTGATACGTAGCGGGAGGCTTCGGCGGGCACTGGCTGGCACGGGATGCTGTCTTTAGCCTGTGTCCTGCTGCCAGCACTTCTGCGGCACGTTTCCTTCACACTTCACAAGCCAGCACGCTGAGCGGCCAGGCAAGCTGCTTCTAGCAGAGGTGCACACACAAGTGTTGCTGCTTCAGCCATCGTCCAAGTGACTGAGAGCGGCTCTTTCTGCTGTCGGTTTAGAATGGCAGATTAGTGATGAAATATACATTTAAACTATACCCTTTAGAACAGTATCCTGCTTCAGGTTGGCTTTATCTTCATTAGAACCAAGAAAGAGGATGCTTAAGGGTTTGGCTATATCCAGGCTTGATACTTAGGTAAAAATTAAGTTCCACTTCACTGGTGTGAAGCTGGAAAGACGGCACAGGTCTTGAAGTAGCCATGGATTTTCACAAAACAGCAAACATAATCCAATCCACTGCACTCATGTGAAGAGTGAAATTAGTAACTGCTGCTGCACGTGCAATGTGACAGCCTGAAAGGGCCTTTTCCCCTTGTAGCAACTTTTTTAAACCCTGTGCATTTTGCAGTGCTCAGATGTGGGTGCAGAGCATCGAGCACAACTTCATACTGTTCTACCTCGCAGATTGAAAGGAGCGGGCTGGCTTCTTTACACTTTCCTGCTGTTACACTTGAGGGAGGTCTACCTGGGGCAGCCTGCAAAGAGCCAGAAGAGGGACAGAGGGAACAGCTGTGTGCCACCATACGCTATCCGATAGTGAGGTTTTGTCAGCGACAGTGACAAAACCTGCTTTTCTGAGGAGATTGCCTCAGGTGGCATTATGTGGTAGGGAGAGTTTTTGGTGCCAAGACCTCAGCCAAGAGATCGACCTTCTCAGCCTTGGCAGACAGGGAAGCTGAGTTGAAGCTGCAGGGAAGTCGATCCATAGTTCAGCAGCACTGGTGCTCGCAGCCTGATCCTGCTTTCCTCCTGCTGCGCTAAGCCCGAGCACCCCAGGAAGCCATGCGACTGTTTTCCTCTTTCCTGAAAGATTCCTCTGTAAAACAGAGAATCTCAGTAGTTAAAATCAGAGTCTTTAGATTTTCACTGGCAGGAGGAGCACCCATCTCCCTTTGCATGTTAGCATCCCGCCACCAGGAAAGTGGGTGCTTTGGGGGAGGCAATGCAGGAGAAATAGCCACGGGCAGCAATGCAGGATGGATGTGTTCGGCACAGTCCTCCTTGTCAGTGCTGTTAATATCACTCCTTGAGCTGCTCGTGGGGTGTTGTCCCAAAAAGAGGGAAGCCCTCCCCAGGGACAGGAGCTTCCTGCCTGCACAGGCCTGCCTGAAGTTGCAGCCCTGCCTTCACACCGCTCCAGGGCAAGGTGCTTTTGTTTCAGGTCCAGTAGTCCTTTGCTGTTGATTACTGAAAACAGCTTACTATATAGTCAGGGGATCATTGCTAGCATAAGAGATGCTACCCTGTAGGTCAGGCGTGATCGCACAGATCATCACTACTGTAAGAGGTGCCCAGCTGAGGTAGGTTTAAAACTTCCCTGATGCATTTAGAGATTTCTTGAAGTGGCTGCTCCGCTGCGCTGTGAAGAGGTGGGAAATACAAAGGAAGAGAAAAACTTAGTCGTCTGTCTCTCATCTGCCACCCTGATGTGTTTTTCACTCTCCACTTTTTTCCCCCCACAGAAGAGAGATTTTAAACAAGAATACCAAAGTGCCTGCAGGCATCAGCCCAGCAGCTTGGTGTACTAACTGCAGAGCAAAGTACGCAAGCTGCAAATGTTTCCTACATTGTTAATTTGTGACATACAGAGAGAAAGAGAGAGGCTAGATCACAGCCCTGTATACTAACCAGCAATTTTCTCTCCTCCTCCAGCAGCCCCTTCAATGACTGGCCAATGTGCAGGATCTGCCATGAGGGCAGCAGTCAGGAAGACCTGCTTTCCCCCTGTGAATGTACGGGGACCCTGGGGACTATTCACCGCAGCTGCCTGGAGCACTGGCTGTCGTCTTCAAACACCAGCTACTGTGAACTCTGCCACTTCAGGTTTGCAGTGGAGCGCAAACCCAGGCCATTGATGGAGGTCAGTACATGGGGCACGTCCCCGAAAGCTTGACTTTAATGAGCAAATCATGTTTGTTTTTATATAGCTTTTGCAGCTCCACTGAAGCCAAAGCAAGCTGTGAGTTTTGGGCTTGGCAAGATGAGGGCAGGGGCTCAGGGAAAGGGCAGGAATAACAAAACCCTTATTCTAACCAAATCAAAACAAGCGAGAAGAATGGGATCAATGGATTTGCTTCCCTGTAAATGTGAGTGAAGATCTGGGGGACAGTGTGCAGCGAATTCCTAGTATACCAGCGAGCTTGGTAGAGGATGGAAGAGAGGTTAAGTAACAGTTTCTGTGGAATGCGAGACAAGCATCAGTATTCAGCATATTAAACATGTCAGGAATATTTTTTTTCTTGCTTTTGAGAGAGAGGTAACAAACCGAGGAGCCTTAGAAACCTAGTTTCCATGTCCAGCCCACAAGAAGGAATTGTTCTTGCTCAGTGTCTGGTATGTTTAGCCGTTTGTGAGTGACCTTTTGGCCTCCTCTTGCCTGTGTACCAGACTCAACAGTGAATTGGACAATTGTTTCTCCCTTATCAATTAAAATTCAGTTTTGCCAACTGTCTGTGCTTTAGTGGCTGCATGAAGTTTGCGAGTTTGGTTTTATTTTGTCCTCAGGAAAAGAAAAAAGAAAAAGAAAAAAAGCCAAGATCACTATCTTTACACTGCTAAGGATCTTTCTTCTCCCCTATTTTAATTTGGAAAAAAATTGTAAAAATTATGGTTTGTGTTGGAATTAAAAGTGAATTACAAATAGTAACATTTTACAAAAGTAATGAGAAGCATCTTATTGTTCCTGTTGGTGACACAGGTGCTTAGATGCTAAGCTTGGGTTCAGGACAACATGTCCTTCTTGTGCATCTTCATTATTCCTGTAAACTGTAGCAGAACTGGTTGAAGGAGATACGGTATTAAAAATAAGGGGGAGGAGGGGCATCTTGTTTTGCTCTTACTCGCAGGTGAGAGGATACAGGATAAAACTGACTCCTGGGAAGTGGGTCAGGGGCCTGTGCAGAGAGGAGATGAGCAGTTCTCATTGAAGACTACCAAAATTGCTTTACGCTGGATTAAGTTAGGCACGCACATTTTGTGTCTCAGCCTAAGGATATCTTCATTCTTCCTTAGGATCAGCAAAAAAGAGATACACGACACGGTATTTGGCACAAGACCTGTAGTCTTGTCAACCTTAACCAGAGCAAGCCTAGGCCAGCTGTGTTCGATTGCCTCTGGCTTGTTGTTTGGTGCTTCTAGCAGGACTCCAGCCTCTCCCAGGAAGCTGGTCCCAGTTTGAGAAATGCTGCTGTCGAGCGTTCTCAGGCTGTCAGCGGCTGAGCAGCAAAATCTTTATGACTGAGCATTCTCCAGTGAAGGTGGTAACATCTTCTTACGGCCAGCTGCTCTGAGCCTGCACCAAGCAGTTTTTGGTTGCAATTTTGACACGAGGATGATGCCACTCTGAATTTGCCTTCTGAAAAGAAAGAGAAATGATGCTGAGGCAGTGCAAAGTAAACAGTTTGAGTTTAAAGTCCGGCTTCTTCAAGCCGTTCCCTTGCAACAGCTGCTCATGAGGCTTGCTTTGCACAAATGGGACGTGACATTGTTCAGAGCTAATGATGACTGAAGAAGTTGAAAGCGAAGCTAACCCTGCCCAGGCTGGGGGAGCCGGGTTGCTTGATCATTCCCTGATGAAGTGAGGCTTGTTTCTGGCAAAAGCAGTAATAAATAACAGCAACAACAACAATAATAATAACAATAATAATGATAAAGCTGACTTTTGTTTCTCAGCTGAGGACAAATGAGAACCAGGTGCAAGAACATTTCTGAAACATAGTACACATTGTTAATTGAGTCTCTTTACTACCAAATCTTTTCTTGTTCTTCAGCTACCATACCCACAGTATTTTAGTGCAGTAATCAACAGCTACATGCAGTTGCAGAAAAGGTCATAAAAAAGCGCGACTGACTTTTTTGAAGTCCTTTGTGATCTTATACAAGGAGTATGTTTTCAGTTTAGAAGGGAATTGAAGCTGTACTTTTAAAATTGAGAGCAGCAGAGATAAAGAGTAACTAAGATGAGTTGTATGCAAGGGGACAAATTAAGCAGAAAGATATCAGTCAAACTTCTTGATTTCTGTTAGCATAATTTGTTTGTCCCTAAAGTTTGTACTTATTTAATACACACTTTGAAATCCAAAGACCTCCCCATGCAAATACTTACAGCAAATCTGAAAGTTCCCAAAGCATGACTGAAGCAGATGCAAGTTGCTGGATTCCTTCATCTTCTGTGTCCTAAAAGCACTGTCCTGTCTGTCGCCATGTATTACCTAGAGTATGAGGGCATGGAGGGAGGTGTATCAGGGTATAGCAGGACCATCTTTTGCAAAAACCTGCTGTAATGTTTGGGCGAGTGACAAGCCAGAGTGGCCACCTGCTTTTAACTCCATCATGTGTGTGTTTGTGTGTGTGTGTGTGTGTGTGTGTGTGTGTGTGTTTGGGGTGGGGAGTCAAGGTTCTCTTCATTTAGTAAGATAATTAGTTCTCCAAAGATTCCACTGAACTAGATAATGTAAGTGGTAAATGGTCCTTCCAGTGGAGGTGAATGATGAGTTTACCCATGCATTTTAGGAGGTCAAGAGGGACTGTTGTTCTCATAAAGTCATTTGTAGAGCATAGCCTATAGAAGTTTATCTAGTAACTCCACAGCAGGCCCTATGTCATGCAGAGAATATATCCCATCCATTGGTCAGTGACAGGTAGTATGAAAATGCTTGAAGCAATCAATCTTCATATTCATCTTTTCTCCTAGAGATTTTCCATCAGGAAAAAAAAATGGTATTTCTGACTATTCAGAGACATGTTATTCACTTTCTTAAAGGGGCCAAAAAAAAGAAGAGAACACGGTACTATGTTTTCTCCTCATCCCTTCACTGGATTGATCACTGCTTCTTAGCTTAGCCGTGAGTGTGAAGGAAATCTCAATGGAAACAAATTGAGATACTCCATGTGCTTTAT